GGCCTCGGAATTATTGAGCTGCAAGATCCAGGTTTTGTCCTCGTCATCGGTGACTGCGAGGTGCCATCGCAGGAACTGTGCGATGTGGACTGTACAATTACGCGGCGGTGTCTGCACGAGGGGCCAGTCAGCAACATCATTCGCATAATATTTGGGACCCTGTACGAGGCCCTGCGTTCCCAAGGCTCCTAACAATGCCAGCAACAACAGGAACGGTGGCTGTCCCATGCAGCGTGCAGTAAGCGTCATCATTCTGAAGGCAAATTCCACTTGCCAGCTGACGTCCTGGCGGGAATTTATAGCCGTGCCGCAGATCGCTTATCAGCCAATCAGAATAGAGTTTAGACGAAACTTCATTAGAACAGGCCGATGAGTCATATGACGCATTAGCACCTGCTCTCAGTCCAAGTCTCAGGCCTGTATTAATATGCAGAAGTTGCCTGGAGACTCCATTTGTTCTCCCTCCTTATAATTGCAAATTAAAACGCCAAATTCTTTCAATGCAAGACTACCATGAAAGCCACACGCAGTTACCGACTAAATGGGCTATGGAGACAACCAAATGGACATTTCTTACCAATGAATGACCATGAGTAGCCCCAAGGCCATCTCTCTTATGGGAAGCGTGTGAATCAACACTGCAGTTGTAGGCTGAATCATTGGCACATGAATTTCGTCCAGTAGAATTCAGGTCAGGTAAACATAAAACTTTGGAGGACGATCTGCCTTGACGTTTTCCATTTCTGGTGTTGATGGCCCTCCGACAGCTAAAGCCTCCTCCCTGATTTAAACTTTTATGTGTGTGATTTTGTTGCAGCCCACCTGACTTGTGTTTTGGGGAACTTTCTACTTGTCGACAGGACCACTTGCGACACTTGTTCCAGTTTTCCCGTGTGTGGGAATCCTCTTCACTTGCTCAACTCTTGATGTTTAATCATGCTGGCCTGTCATTTGTAAAAATAATACTCCTTAAACGTTAACTACAGTTTAACAAAACTACGTATCAATGCTGTCCTAAGGAATCATGTTACATGAATTGACAGTTTAATTAAGCGCTCAAAAGGCGTCCATAGCACTTAAATATTTTTTCATGGGAAACTTCTCTTCAGTGTAAGCTTTTAATGTAGAGGTATAATGGCAGCAGCTTATGTCGTTAGGGAAGACAATTTACCGCTACGACCTCCACGCAGGGTTCTGTATGGGAAGAGAAGACTGGGTAGTTAGTTGGGAGGAATAGATTCTTCTGTACAAAACTACTGGAGAAAAGGTTAAAAAAGGGTTTTTTGCTGACCGAACGTCCGTCCGCATGCGCTAGGGCGGCGACCGACGTGTGAGACTGCGTAAATCGTCACACCACCTGCAGCGGGGTCATGTGTGAGTCCATCTTGATGCTGATTGGTCAATTAGAGTGAGATTGGCAGACACTGGTGCGCAGGTGCATACAGTCGCGAGAGGCGAAAGATTGAGCGTTGCGATCCGCGTTGCAATAGTAAAGTATCACTGAAAATATTACAGACTTTGGAATGTTTGGTCACATTCAGATTTACTTTCAAACGACGATAAGTTTACACACAGTAGGCAGGACGCTCTGATATGCAGCCCCGAGTTTGCATCCTATTGGTTTGGTGGGAATATTAAAGTCTCTTGGGCCATTTAATTTATGCCGGGAGAAATTTCCTTCTGTAATTTTTCTTCTTTATTATTTCGAGATTTCGATGATGATGAGGTTTAGATTCTTCTTGAAATAAGTGTAACCCGTTTGCGATTTTCAGTGTTTTTAGTCAATTGTCAATAAAAAAGGATTCTATTTTTCGTACTTACCAAAGTCTTCAAAAAATATGCCTCCCAAAAGCATTAACCTTAATAGTGAACTTGTGGACATTCTTTATTATGCAGCTGTCTGTTCGGGTCATGGCTTTAGCATCACCCGAACATGATAACTCATTTCCAAGACAAATGAACGATAAGATTAACAAGAAAAGGTTCCCCGTACCTTGTTGCCTCTTAAAAAACCGCTTTTATGAGATATTCCGGTGTCAAATGTCCGCGTAATTTACCTTTTTGAAGGCTAAGTGAAGATATAAAAGGGATCTTATGCCGGTTTTTGGCTTCTTGGTAAAAAGGAAATATATCTTCTGCTACGAATGAAATAACACATATTCCTTTCTGCACTGGAGCAGTTTTCAGTATATTTGTTAAATTCTAGGCTCCGTTCTAAGCTCTCAAATGCAGAACAATGGCAGAATCTATGCGAGTATTTCGCGAATATTTCGCGAATATTTCGCGAATATTAATAATCTTTTATTCGTTCTGTTTCAAATTTCGGTATTCATTTAGTGTCAAGTGTAGATGGAAACCGTTGAGACATCTTATGCGTACGGCGTTACAGAGAAAAGTGACGGTATTTCGCGGGTGTTCATATGTACGCTTGATTAGGGTCCTTATGTTTGGTAAAGTAAAACAAATTACAGCTGTAGAACCTTAAAACATTATAATTGCAGTTTTCCCGAAAATAGTGCCACTTGTCATATTTTCACTAACTTGATTTGTATGAACGGAAAGCAAAACTGATCTCTGAAATAATAATTTTCAAGCTTTTTTGAATTATACTAATGTTTTTCTGAAGATAAAGGCTTCTTTGGGAAATCTGAATGTGTAAATTTTTGGGGCTGGTTCCCCAGCTCGTTGTCAGACTATGGGATACGTACGGGTACAATTAACAAAATTAACCATGTATAACAAAGTATACCGCAATAAGCTGAAATCTGCGCCAATATGCATTTCATGCATTTCGTCACCGTGTAGTGGTTGCACTCTGACCTTGAGATAAGTACAGCCAGCGTCCAAATCGATACGCCTGTTGGTTCATACGTCAACTGAGTGCATTGCCTCAAAGAATTCACGGCCTACTTTGTTGGGCAAGTGCCAACAATCCTTGTGTTCTCCCACGCGAATTTGTGACCAGTTTCTAGTGTGTGCATAGCCACCTGGTCTCATCTTCCGATCGCTAATTGATGTTCGTGTATGCGGGTTGAGGCAGGTTCGGTAATCATAGTTCGGTATCTTTCACCATTAACTGTTACTGTTGCGCCA